ATGTCCGATGTGGTGATTTTGAACAATGAAAGTACTTACAATTAAGTGAACATCAAGCAATGCTGCAGCAAGCCACAGTTTCAAACTGACGCCCCCTGGCGGACTTTTATTTTGTCACTAAACGCGCTTCCAGAGGGAAACAGGAAACGGCATTGTGTGAACGTCACGCGAGGCTTGACGTTTCACCTCATTTGCCACTGCAGCAGCAAAAACAAGGATCAGATGGGATCAAAGAGCCGGGAAGCATCATTTCCTCATTGGTAAGGAGCACGTTTCTCATTGGCTGATGTGTTTCCTGTGATTGGGGAAGAAAAAAAAACAACCTATCCAAGAATACATAAAGGATATCACACAAGGAAACATCGAATCCATAAAAAAATGATTCAAAAATATTTTAGGCCTATTCAAAAATTCCATTAAGAGCAATTGGGTTACTTTAGCACCACAGATGCACTGTGAGCTTATATGGGAACATTACATGGATACAAAAGGATTCAATTACCATAAAATACAGTGAGATGAATACGAGGCCATTATATCATTTATATTTATTATAGACTAGGGCTTTAGTGATTTTCAATGAAGGCATCTTTTATGGACAGCACAAGCATTAATATTTCAGACAGGTCGACACCGTCTTATACTGTATCTCCTCTTCAGGCTCGTAGCTACCATTGGGTACAGTGTCTTGTCTGTTTATGGTGGGATTTATATTCCACAATCACACATTAATTGTGGCATTTGGTATAAGCAGTATTCTTAAATTTGACTGTTTTTAGACCCAGAAAAAGGGCATTAAAAGTTACAAAATTACAGGAAAATATGATTTGACAGCATAAAATAAATACGGATACAAATACAGAAAATGTGAAAAAGACTGAATATTATTGGCTGTAAGTTGATGGTGGGTGGCACAGGAGAATTACATTTTATGACCTTAGTCTTTCTTAAATCCTGGGTACGGCCCTGCTCCTCTGGAAACTCATTGTTTTGTTCATGGTTTTAAAGGTGAATAGATAGACTTCTACATTAGGTGTCAGTACAATTTATCAAATGGAAATATAATTGTTGGCCATTAATCTGAACTGAATCTGCATTTGAATATTTCTGCATGCTGGGGTCCCTAAACAGACTTGGAATAAGAAGAATTGGATATGAGTGGAAAGCTGACGCTGTTGTTGATCTAATGAAACCAGTCGTCTTCATGTGTGATGTGTTTTCACGTAGTGAGAACATTTTGTGGAACTTGACGTCAATGAATAAAACGACCTGCTGTGACCTCTTTATGACCACGCACTAGAGACCCAGGACACTCTAAAGGGATGCATGGTTTTCCAATTTAAAGTGACAACACAGCGTTTCTGAGCAGTTTCCAGAACAGAAGAGCTCTCCATCTAATCGATGACAAATGCGGCAAATCTTCTTTCCTGTGGTTTTCCTCAAGGTCTTTGTGATGTGCTATTCTGGAGGTATTTATGACCTTTTTTAAATTTTTATAAATACCTAAGTGGTCAAAAATGGTTAAAATTAGCAATAAATCTGCGTAACAAATGGTATCAACCCTAAAAAATAGCTGCAGCACATTTTTGAGGCATAATAGAGCATGGGAATGGCCATCATCTACCTCCATTATAATGTTCTTAGCCCTTATTATTATACCAAAACACAGTAATCATTATGGATTAATGACTATAGAAACTTAATCAAATTAATCTGCAGGTTTCCAGCTTTCAGGCGATGCACACCACTTCTATGTGGCATGTACTGTTGAGCTGCTATCTCCCCCTCTCCCCCTAAAGATCCCCTGTCCCCCTTTTTATTCCATCTTTCAGAACCTCCAGAGCACACTTTGTTTCCTCTCTCCCCACCACCCGTTGGTGATGCCTGTCTGCCTCCCACACATCTCCCCGCTCTGATCAGTATTCCACTCAGATTCCTATAATGGTCCATACATGGCGGGGGGGGGGGGGGGGGGTCGTGCTGAGCTCACTGCTTTTCCCCTCTCCGCTGAAGGAGCCATAACCCCTTCTCCAAACAGCTGGTTCGATCCAGTTCATGCCGGGGACATCGCAGTCGAGGATGAAAAATGTTTCATTAGCATTTTCATCCAGATGAATGTGTGTGTGTGTGTGTGGGGGGGGGGGGGGGGGACCTGTCTGCTGACCTTGAGCGAGAGCCTGACCCTCTTAATGAGCCCATCAGCAGGCATTGCTTACGCCCGAGGTCTACGAGTGCATGCAAGGGACACATTTAACACTAGACCTAATCCAGACTTATTATACATGCCATATTTAATGCAGTGTTTGGTCTAAAGTGCTTTACAGAACACTGAGCGCATACATCTTTAGTACGGATGTCCTCAGCGGGAGCGGAACATCAGTCTGAGGTGGGGAAAGGGACATATCCTGCTCACATCCATCATGCAAACCCATCTGTGCTACCTGAAGTAAAGGAAGTACTTGAAGGGTCACCCAGAAATACACATTATGACAACATCATGTCAGTCAAGACCGGTAGGGGTATGCAGCGGTCTGATCCCATTAATGTCCAGACAAAATCACAGTGTATTCAGCATGACCTGGTAGTTTGACAAAAAAAAAATCCTAACTCAAGGTCCACTTACTTGCTTTTTCCATGAACTTCCAACCGCATCTCACACAAATGAAGCCAACGCTTAAGTGCCAAAAAAATGCAGTTCCTCAAATGTCCACCTGAGGCTGGCTACAGAAGCGAGTCAATAGCATGAATGAGTCCTAAAACCTGAATATGAGTCAGCGTTTTTTTGCACTTCTGCTTCCCTCATCTGGAAGTCAGTTATTTTTTTTAGCTTTTTACTTTTCTGCGTTCACTCTCGGGGAAAAAAAATCATGAAAGCGGTGCTCGTTTGTGACGAATATCTTACCGAACAAAACGTACAAGTGTCATAAACGTTGGATTGCCACCAAGCTTATTTTCTGCAATAATCCAAAATCTAAAATCACATTGGCCTTTTGTCAAAAAAACAAAACAGTGTGATGCTAACTTCCGGGTTGGCCTACAAAAATACCTCATCCCCGTAGACCCCCATGTTGAAAGGCCCAACATTACTGCAGAAATAAACATGTTTACAACCTGGTACAAAGATCGGTATTGGTCTCTATCGCTAACGAACCCTTTCAGGGCAACTGTACAGTCGGTGAGTTTTTATATCACTCACCTGTTAAGATTATATTAAGGCTTGACATTGTGCTTAATTAAGGGCGAGGCCACTTTGACAGCTCCACCAACGACCCACCTCTTTGACCACTTTTAGAGTTCGGCTGTGTAGTCACTGCCAAGATGGCAGATCCATATTTATCACAGCCTATGACATCATCGTGTCCTTACCCAGTGGAGTTTGCGTAGTTCTTGGTAAGAGTGACTCGTAGAACTCTGGTCATGTGATGACGGTGCGTCGTACATGGGAGGGAGATGGTAACCCGTGACCTTTGACCTCATCCCAGTGGTTGCGGTTCCTCCATACCGGAGACAGGACTGAGGCATCACAGTGCCCGAGTCATCCTGTCCCGGACGTATAAATGTAGATAGGACAAAAACAAAACAAGCAGGAGATACTAGGACAAGAGCACTTCAGCTGGACTGATGTCATGGATATACTGTAGGTCAGAAGTCTTCAACAGGGGGTCCGTGACCCCTAGGGGGTCCGCGGAGGTACTGCAGGGGGTCCGTGAAATTTTTGGTTGATTTTTTAAATTTAAATTTTTTTTTCAAACATGAATCTGTCCATTATTTTAATAGTTCAGTATTGTATGCAAGATAACAGGTATGTTTATGCATGGCAGTGGCACTAATAGGCCATCACTCATTTTTGTTTCCACATTTATGTTTACAAATAAAAACATCAATTTGAATAGCTTGTGTGCATGATTATCATGCAATTGACAGACAATGTTGATGTTGGCATTGGTATCAGCTGACAAGGTCTGTTTATAAATGGCAGTGGCACAGCCACCCTGCTCACTGTACCTTGCAGATGTTTAAAATAAAAACATGAATATATGAACCCGTGTATTATTTGAATAGCTTAGTATTGAATGCATAGTAACAAGGTATGTTTATACACGGTACTAGGCCCATTTAATATAAAACACAATTTTATACTATATATAGTCGGGGGTCCCTGCTCCATCTCTCTATCAGTTTGGGGGTCCTTGGCCTGAAAAACATTGAAGACCCCTGCTGTAGATGAAGAAATAAATTATGTTGAAGGTATTTCTATATGAGCAGCAGGGGGACCCAGGGCCTTTTTTTTGGGGGGGGGGGGGGGGGGGGGGGG